AAATGTATGAGAGCAAACGTGCTCTATTTGTGTCCCTTTCTTGCTGCACTTTCTCAAGTTCTTGTTCCAATTGTATCTGTTGTAATGCTAGATCTTCCAAAAGCTAAAATACAATAATGTCATATTTAAGATATTTAGAGTTTTATATACACTTAATTCAACCTTCTTCCTGTGAGCCTTGAGCATGGATTGCACTTCCATCTCGTATTCTTGCTGTTTGTTTTATATTTTTCTCCACCTCCAATAAGGCATTTTGCCGATGTTCCTATTGAAAATAAATTTTGCTATGACGGAACAATATTGAACTAATAAAAAAATTGTTCATCTTTCTATATATTATTCACACACGAATAAAAAGACTTTATGGTTATTTTTATCTAATATACTAAAATTTATATGCATTTATAAATTTGTAATAATTTTTTATTGTCCACATAAAAAATAACTTATTATCCACATAAAATAAAAAGATAAGTAAGTTAAACACAAATCATAGAAAAAATATGCACAAAATATTCAAAAAAATGCTAAAGATAAAAATAAAATAAATTTAAAATATTAGTGTTTTGAAGCATTTTAATTGCGTAATTAATATTTATCGAATACAAGTAACGAATATAAATAAAGCACTTAGTGTAATAGTGATTCAACAAATAAAAAAAAAATGAACAAAATTTGACATTCTTATATATAAAAAAATTACATGGCAATGACTTTCTACCCAAGTGTTTTGATTATTTTTCATAAATTAAATTGTTATTGCATTAAGCACCTTCCAAATCAATTTGTTAATAATAATCAAAAATTAAATGGATGAAAAGTGGGAAGCATATGAAAATCAAAGAAGCGTCCAACATGCCTTCATTTTGTCTAGCTTCTGTAACGTTGCCTAAAAAAGAAAAAAAGAAATCATGAATATGCGTAAACATCGAAAGCACATCGTGCTATGCGTGAATCATAGATGCTCGCAAAATTGATCAATTTTATAAAAATTTGTAGTAAAAAAAGCAGAGAGAAAGAAAGAAAGAGAGAGAGAGAGAGAGAGAGAGAGAGAGAGAGAGAGAGAGAGAGAGAGAGAGAGAGAGAGAGAGAGAGAGAGAGAGAGAGAGAAAATACAGATATAGCATACAAAAATAATTTTTATAAGATATGTGCATATTAACATATTGTTAACATATTGTTTTTAGAATAAAGTTATAATAAATTAATAATAAGTTCAATGATCCTTTATGACTTTTGATCAATTTGACAATACGTATATTTAGTGACGATAATGTAATTAACAAAACCTTATAACTACATTCATGCAGTACATTACAATACCTGCACGTCGTTACTCTTATTATGGTATACCGTCTGCATGTCTTCTGAACTCATATCTCTTGAAATATCAGTCTCCGATATCGAATCTTCCGGCGAGTACTCGATGCCACTTTCGTTCGCCAAAAATGCGACAATCACTATTGTGCCGCCGTCTAAAATGTCCTGAGGTGGATATGACAGATTTAATCCATCAATATTTAGATTTGCCAATTGTTGAGCATAGCCTAGAGATTTCGGCAACTTTTGCAGCGATTTATTATGACTAATGTCAAAAATATTAAGTTGCTGCAGTTGTCCAATACCATCAGGTAGCTGTTTCAGGTTGTTTCTTGAAACATTCAAAATTGTTAACTTATTCAAATATACTATTTCGTTGGGCAGTTTGCGAATGTTGTTGTCTTGCAAATAAAGCTCCTGAAAAAAACAAAATGAACCGTGATATCTTAATATTATTTCTGTGTATGTAACAAATATTAATGATTTTAACAAAAAACCGAATTAGCATCTTTGTTTTATTAAATTAATTTTTCCAAATATTTTATTTCTTTGTGTTTTTTCTCTATTTAATGACACATTAGGATTTTGTATTGCCAAGGAAATTCTATAGTTTTTTATCTTTTCCTTTATACATTTTATCTTCTGGAACAGTGATGTATATAAAATAGATAAACGAACTCTGGTCATTCTAATAAACCTCACCTTGAGGGAAGAGAGACACATAATGTCGGAGGGTAACGCGGTAAACTCGTTTTCATGAATGTCTAAGACAGTCAACAACGACAAATCATTTAAGGCACCTCCACCCGAGAGTGAGCTCAGCTTGTTATCGTACATTAGCAAGATTCTTTTCCGGAACACCTTGCAAAGCGAATAGATACCCGACGGCACGTTCTTCAAGGCACATTCCGACACGTCGAACACCGGCTCCGGATTTTCCCTGGCCTATTATACAAAATAAATAATACAATTGCAATCATACAACACTTATTATTTCTCATCAAATTGATAATTTATTATCTATTTATTATCTATTATATATTACATTTATCTATATTTATACTGTTTCTTTACATGAAGACGATTATGTTAAATAAGACATTATTTAATTTATTTACAATGATAATTAGTCACCGTCATAATTATCGATAATTTTCATTATTGTTCTAACCTAATTCGGCCTAAATGTAACTTTACATTATCTAACATTTTATTATTTATACATATAATAATGGTATTATTATCTATTAACATATATAGAAACAATAAAAGGAGTTCAGATGTAAACTGACACTGTGTGATGCTAATCAATAATTATTGAATCGGTGTGGATTATGACCATAACCTCAACTCGCAGAATACGCACCAGGTACAGCTTGTACTCGAGCCGCGCCTTGTAGTCGATGTTAGTCTTGCTCCTGTACTTCTTCGACATCCTTACTCACATCCGTTGTCATGACAAAGAGACGGACGAGGATTTCATCTCGCGCAATCGACATGTGATAAACACCGAAGCGTCCCCCCCACCGACGAGGCTCGTCCAGCTGTCAATCAGCTGTCAATGTATCTGTCCCTTTAAACCACACTTTTTACACTTTGCTGCACCTGCCTTTCCACCAGATAAGAGAGCATCTTTCTTTCAAATATCTCTATCGATACACGATGTTTCTAAAATAAATGACTGATTTTCAAATGATATTTGGTTTATATTTAAAGCTGTATTTTTGTTGTCATCAAGTGGACTTGATTAACTTTGATAATTATGCAGATAACAATTATAAAAGAATACAATCTTACATCAATATGCGTCAATTTTATACTTGTTTATTTATTGTTAGAAAGATTTTTAAGATTAAAAGAAAGATATATATTTTATACAAAATAAAATTCAATACATAAAGATATACATATACAATCTTTTAAATAATTTTACATCCATTAAATTTTTATGCAATATATTTAAAGCAATAAGAAAATAAAAGAGGGAGAAATACTTGTGATAGCTTATCTAACTTTAAAATCTTTATAATAATGTTATAAATATGTAATTATTAATTATTATTAATTTTTATATTATATATTAATTATATTGTAAAAAATTAATATATAATATAATTATATATTAATTATATAATATAATTAATATTATATATTATATATTATATATTAATTATATAATAATATTATATATTAATTATATTGTAAAAAATTAATATATAATATAATTATATATTAATTATATAATATAATTAATATTATATATTATGTATTATATATTAATTATATAATAATATTATATATTAATTATATAATTTAATTAATTATATAATTTATATATTAATTATATTAATTATATTAATATTATATATTAATTATATAATATAATTAATATATAATTATATTATATATTAATTATATTATATATTAATTTTTCTATTTAAAACCTGTTAAAATTCAGAATATTACAAAGAGAATTAACGATCAATTTCTTATGAACTAAAATTTATCTAAATTGTAAGATCTTACAACTATACCGCTATCTCGTCATACGATAGTCCGTTAAGAAAAGGAATGAGTAGCAACGATATTTTTATTTTATCAATACAATTGCTTATATTCAAAGTCTCTATGTATGTACTTGAATTAATTTGATGAATTACCTATTTATTTCAACATTTACAAAGCATCTATATCTAATCTTAAACTATAAGTTAAGTCTACTATAATATAAGCTAATTATTCAAATATTCATATTGATGGTTGAAAAAGATATGCTGATAATCGATAATACATAAATCAATCGATAATACTATATACTTTTGCCTGTAAGATGACTCAGAATAAATGTTTGAATATTATATTTCTAAGATTTGATTCTGAAATGTGTAAGGCATATTTCAGCAATTTAAAAAACTTAAAATATTAGATAATTGGCAAAATCAATAGCATTTGGCATATTGTCACGACATTTATCTCTTTCTTTCTCTAATATCACGACGGGGCATGTGTCACGATTTTTTCACTCGAGGATGAATGATTGCGTGACGAAAATATTTCAGAAATACAACACTGTGTTGTTGTCACAAGAACAAATATTAGAGCCAAGGTCTCGTATCGCCCATAATTGTTATTGACAAATATTTCTTAATCACGTAATACACGTCATTTATTGTTAATAATGCACAGCGTTTGATTTTATTTATAAAATTAGCATTCAATGACTACGTTCAATAGAACTACGTTCAATAGAACGTTCAAAAGCAGCTTTGAAACTGTTGTAAAAATCTTTAATATAATTGATTTTTGTTCTTAGTTTCTCACTAATCTGAATGTATAAATTGTATGCATAGCTTTTTCTGCTGAATGCAGCCATTCAACACAGCCGTTATCGTTTCTTGTAACGTCGCATTGAGTTATCGCAGGCTATCATTTCATGTCGTATGATAAATGAAATAGTTATACTAGTGGCTATATAATTATATATATGTTCTGCTATAATTAGCATTAATGTGTGAGGAAAAAGAGAACGTTAATGTTTTTAAGATAAAGGCCGGCATAGTCACTCATAACTTCCTTTCTGCTTTTATCATTTATCTTCTTTGCCAATATCTAATTATATATTTATTTTAAGTGCAGCAAATATAATGTATTTTTAGACATATCTATCTTTATCATTGAACTGAACTATACTAAAATCTTTCTTCTCACTTTCATCAAACTTCAAACATACAACTATCTCATTTTAAGTACATACAAGTGTACCAGTTCAGCTATAAAAAAACAGATAACCTATTAACTTTACAGGCTTAGCTTCACGAGTGTAACTATATAGATCTAACTTCACGAATGTAACTTCATAGACTTAACTTCACAAGCCTAATTTGACGGACGCATACGTGTCTTGCATTTTCAATGATCGAGCGTGATCGCGTTTCCTCTTCTGCACCGTTTACTTTTCGAATTTGTAAGAACATGTCACGATTCAAATTCGTTTGAATAAAGAATAATACTCTGTTTCGATAAGTCTTGTGATTTTTTTATTTAAAATAGGTATTTTACGATCTTCTTTGAAATCCAATTTATACGGAAGAAAAAAAGATAACGAAAAAAGAGAGAAAAATTTAAATTCGCTTCTAGTAAGTATCATTAACAAATTTAATATTTACATATATATATATATATATATATATATATATACATATTACACACACACACACACAATATATATATATATATATATATATGTGTGTGTGT